ACACACACACACACACACACACACACACACACACACACACACACACACACACTCACACACACCTTGATAAGTGTAATTCCAGGGCCTTTCTCAGACCACCTGACAGACACACATTAAAGCTGCAGCTGCAAAAATGTGGCAGTTAGCAAAAAGCWATTTAAAACRTRCATTTTAAACGTGAYCTGTGATTTCTTGTGATTCTCTGTACCAGGGTTTAGTATGTAACTAGCATAAAACCTATTTTCCCATTTCAAACACGTACCAAACACAACGTATCACCAAAGTCCATCTAGGGGAAGTCTTAATGCTGAAGTCGTTTTCATCACATCACTCAGAAATGGTTTCATCAGAACCACATCAGAAACAGAATCACCATCTCCTCCACCAGAAGACAAAAGAAGCAAAAACTTTTTTCTCATTTTTTTCTTTTTTTACCTCAAATTTGATCAAAAAGTCAAAATTTGCTCCACACACTTTCATATTWAACAAATTAAATTGCATAGTTTTAAAGAAACCTTTCAAATGAAGCTGGAACTGCATTCCTAACACCTGACATGCAAACGGGCTTCTGAAACACATCCTTCCTCTTTCTCACGTCGGTTTTATGTCCCAACACAAACAACATGCCACTTTTGTTTCAGCATCGAAGCATCTCTGCTTGCAGGGTGGTACGGCCACAGTATGAAATCTCTGCAGAACTCTAATTTTATTTCTAGAACACACTGGATGTGGTGAATACAATAAATATTCTATAACACACGTTTTGGTAAATATTGATCAATGAAGTAATTATGCATACTTTTCTTTTAATAAATACAGATTTGTGGTATGTTTTATTTTTGTTATTGGATGTTTCTTGACAGGATGACCAGGAATCTGAATGAATCACTAGAGTGCTTCCTGTGGAGGTTTTATGTCCCTCGGAGAGACCCAGGACAGACCCAAAACTCAGAACTCGTCAGGATGCTCCAAGTGGAGCTGGAGCTTGTTGCTTGGGAAAAGAATGTACTGTATGTGTTTTCATGTTAAATCTGTTACTTTACCAACCTCCTGTTGTCCCTTTGGCTAAAGGATGGATGGATGGATGGATGGATGGATGGATGGATGGATGGATGGATGGATGGATGGATGGATGGATG